CTGCTGCCTAAACACAGGGCAGCACCTTAACAATCCAAATGGCTGATTACATGATATATTTACCACTTTTCCTAATCTGAGAAAAGCGCAGTTCAAAAATATGTGTTTCTTAGTTGAATAAAGCCGGAAGAAAAGTGATTCTTCCGTAACTCAGTTTTATAGCTTCGCTCTTCCTTTCCTCCTTTCTCACTTTCACTATGTCCTATTGTCAGCTGTTCCTCTCCAGTTGCCTTATTTTACAGCTATTGCTTCCCACTTCTTTTGATATATTTCCCTATAACCCATGTCTACATCTGCACACCAACCTTCTCTTGTCTAGCTAACCGGAGACATATTTCACTGCAGTTCTGTGAGCTGCATGGGCTATTATGATTCTGCCAGCTGATGAAGATTGACCTGCTGTAGAGGGAATGAAAAACTGGGACGTCTTTTCATTCTTCCTGTCAGTAAAACAGCTGCTTCTAAGCCTTCCATTAAGAAAAATAATAATAAAAAAAATCCACCATATTATATTACAGTAAAACTACAAAGTGCAGGGAGATTGATTTAGGCAACATGTGTTTATCCAGATTGGAACATACTTCGAAGTCTGAGGGTGAGGGCCTCATGCTTCAAAGAGCTCTAAGGATTTATGGAACAGTCTGAGAGTGCCGTGTGAACCCATCAGCGTGGACACAGATCTTGGAATCTAGATGTTGGTGTTTGACACGTGAATGAACACATGAAACATAAGTAACACTGATCCCTGTTTGAAGGAGATGAGCCTTTGATGAGTGGAAGTGGTTTTATTTTGCTGTATCATGGGATAGAGAGCATGGGAAGCAGTGCATCACTAGTTAGTTCAGAAGTGACTGATAGATAGGGTGGACCTTGCTAGCTCTTGTGCAATCTGTTTGCTACTCAGAGAACTCCTTTCTTTCTGCAGTGAGATACATCTTCCTCAGAAGTAAATGGAATCTAATTATTTGTGGGCTGAAATAAGAACAAATTGAAATATAGAAAGAACTATGTCTAGATCAGCAGAGCAATGAAGAAAAAGTCCAAGAGAGGAAAAAGTGTATCACAGCATAAGAGACGAAAAAGGTAATTCAGAATGCAAGTGAATTCATGTAGGAGAAGAAACTAAACAAAATTACACAAAACTATTGAAGAAATAGATTAAGAATATAGAAGTAAAAGATAAGTAATAGAGAGTGAAAACGTGCTTACACCAAGAAAACTGTGTTTAAAAACATGCATTTACCTAACTTAGTACTTTAACTTGCAAAATAACATGGCCTCAGTGCCAAAGATCACTTGACTACTGTTAGCTTGTGCAGCACTAAAAGCATAATCATGTCAATTGCTTATTTGCATGATTTTTCATATTCTAAGAGTTGATATGGAAATGATCCGTTCTGTATCAGTACAATTTCTGAACACTTGAAAAGAGATACTGTGGCTTACCCTTCAGAAGAGAATCTCGAGAGCCAAGTCCAGGGGGACAATCACTTCCCTAGCCCTGCTGGCCACACTGCTTCTTATTCCAGCCAGGATGCTCTTGGCCTTCCTGGCCACCCGAGCACACTGCTGGCTCATGTTCAGCCGACTAGCCACCAATACTCCCAGGTCCTTCTCTGCCTGGCAGCTCTCCAACCACTCATCTCCCAGCCTGTAGCTCTGCTTGGGGTTATTGAGCCCCAGGTGGAGGACCCGGCACTTGGCCTTGTTGAACTTCATGCAGTTGGCCTCAGCCCATTGGTCCAGCCTATCCAGATCCTCCTGCAGAGCCTTCCTACCCTCGAGCAGATCGACACATGCACCTAACTTGGTGTCATCTGCAAGATCACTGAAGGTGCACTCGATCCCCTCATTCAGATCATCGATAAAGATATTAAAGAGGACTGGCCCTAGTAGTGAGCCCTGGGGAACTCCATTAGTGACCGGCCTCCTACTGGCTTTAACTCCAGATAAATGTAACTGGATTACAACAGCAGGCATGTTTCTAGCCACACGTGCCTTTTTCCAGAGAGAAAGCTGAAGAACATGGCAACCCACAGCCTGCTGCACCCTGAGGGGCAAGGGCAGAGCAAAGCCCAGGCTGGCACAACACAAAGCGTTGGGGACGGCCATGGCTCCGGAATGCTGGCCCCAGCGGCGGTTGGGCGGTTGGGCAGGCCTGTAACGGCTGCCCGTGCTGACGGGGAGGCTGCTCGGCTGCCTGCTCCTCCCGCTCAAGTGTCCGCTCCAGACACAACCTCAAGCAGAGGGAGTCAGCTTCTTTTTCCTCTCTCTTCAAGCAGGACGGTGACACGATTGGGTCAGGACGAGAGTGACCTCTGCATGAGGATGACGGGACACGGGCAGCATCAGTGAGTCACTAGATACTCTTGAGCAGAGAGGCAGGGGCTGCCCATGGTCACAGGGAGGTGCTGCTTTGTTTTGTGCTTCTTCTCTTTCAGCCAGACACACACAGCGATGAGACCAGACCACGGCAAACTCCTAGCCTCTCTGCCCTCGACAACTGAGCTGGAAGGAAGAGCTGCCAACGCTCTCCAGGACAGGTAGGATCGCCCCAACCCACACCCACGAGGCTCTAACTGCAAGCAGGATGGTGACACGATCGGGGTAGGACAGCAGTGACTGCTCCATCAGGACGATGGGACAGGGAGAGCCTCGGTGAGTCCTGGTAGACCCTTGGGCACAGAGGCAGGGTCTTCCTATGATCACAGAGGGATGCTGCTCCGTTTGTTCTGTCTGTTATTAAAGCCAGACACACACAGCGATGGGATGAGGCCAAGGCACAATCCTGGCTTGTCTCCCATTGAGAAGTCAGGTGGAAGGAAGTTCCAGCGCTCTCCAGGACAGGTAAGATCTTCCCAACCCACACCCACCAGGCACTAACAGCAAGCAGGAAGGTGACCCGCTCGGTCCAGGAGGGCAGTGACCACTCCATGAGGACGATGGGACAGGGACAGCTTTGGTGAGTTGCTAGAGACCCCCGGGCACAGAGGCAGGGGCTGCCCATGTTAAGAAGGATGCTGCTCTGTCTCTTGGTGCTTCTGTTTCAGCCAGAAACACAGAGCGATAGAACCAGACCACGGCACAATCCTGGCCGCTCTCCCCTTGAGAAGTCAGCTGTAAGGAAGAGCTGCCAACGCTCTCCAGGACAGGTAAGATTGCCCCAACCCACACCCACCGGGTACTAACAGCAAGGAGGACGGTGACATGATCGGGATAGGACGGGAGTGGTCCCTGTATCAGGATGATGGAACAATGACAGCCTCGGTGAGTCTCTGGAGACCGTCGGGCACAGAAGTAGGGGCAGCCTGTGCTCTGAAGAGGATGCTTCTCCATTTGTTGGTTCTTCTTTTTCAGCCAGAATTTCACGGCGATTGCACCAGACCATGTCAAAATCCTTGCCGCTCTCCCCTTGAGAAGTCTTCTTGAATAAGAGCTGCCATCACACTCCAGGACAGGTAAGATTGCCCCAAAACACACCCCAGCATGGTCTCATATCAAGCAGGACAGTGACACGCTTGGGCCAGGACTGGAGTGAGCGCTCCATCAGGATGACAGGAGACAGAGTGACATGGTGAGACACTCGAGGTTGTTGGGCACAGAGGCAGGGTCAGCCCCTTGTCACACGGGGATGCTGCTCCGTTTGTTCTTTCTCTTATTAAAGCCAGACACACACAGCGATGGGAAGTAGGCCACGGCACAATTGTGGCGACTCTCCCTTTGAGAGGACATCTGGAAGGAACTTCCAGCGCTCCCCAGTAAGAGTAAGATCTCCCCAACCCACATCCACCACTGTTCACAGAAAGCAGGAATGTGACACGATCAGGCTAGGATGGCAGTGACCACTCCATGGAAACGACGGAACACAGAAAGCCTCGGTGAGTCACTAGAGACCCTTGGGCACAGAGGCAGGGGCTCCCCGTGTTCACAGAGGGATGCTGCTCTGTCTCGTGGTGCTTCTCTTTTAGCCAGTAATGTACAGCAATGGAACCAGAGAATGGCAGGCGACCCTTGGGCACTCAGGCAAACGCTGCCCATGGTTACAGATGCTGCTCTGTTTGGTGCTTTTCCTCTTTCAGACAGGAACACACCTAGGGATGAGAGCAGACCACGGCACACTGCTGGCCTCTCTCGCTTTGAGAGCTCAGCCAGAAAGGATGCCAGCACTCTCCAGGACAGATAAGACAGCCCCAAGCCATTCCCCACTGTGGTGTCACGCTCGGACCAGGAGTGCAGTGACCGCTCAATTAGGATGATGGAACAGATATGGCATCGGTGAGTCGCTGGAGACCCTCGTGCACAGAAGTAGGGGCAGCCTGTGGTCTCAGGGGGATGCTGCTCCGTTTGGTGCTTCTCCTTTTGCAGCCAGATTCACACAGCGATGGGACAAAACCACAGCACACTCCTGGCCACTCTCCCCATGAGAACTCAGCTGGAAGGAAGAGCTGCCAACACTCTACCTGACAGGTAAGATCGCCCCAAGCTACACCCCCGATGGTCCACAGCAAGCAGGAAGCTGACAGAATGGGGGCAGGACGGCAGTGAATGCTGCATCAGGAAGACGGAACACAGACAGGCTCGGTGAGTCACTAGATACTCTTGAGCAGAGAGGCAGGGGCTGCCCATGCTCACAGGGAGGTGCTGCTCTGTTTTGTGCTTCTTCTCTTTCAGCCAGACACACACAGGATTGCCTCCAGACCACGGCACAATCCTGGCCTCTCTGCCCTTGAGAAGTCAGCTGTTAGGAACTTGCAGCGCTCTCTACGACAGTTCAGATCTGCCCAACCAAAGCCCAGCAGGCTGGCCGTTGCTGCTCTGTTTGGTGCTTTTCCTCTTTCAGCCAGAAACGGCACAATCCTGGCGTCTCTGCCCTCGAGCACTCATCGGCGAGGAAGAGCTGCCAACGCTCCCTAGGACAATTAAGATCGCTCCAACCCAAACCCACCAGCCTCTAACAGCAAGCGTCAGGGCGATGTCTGCATCCTGCTCTCATTCTGTCAGTGCCTGTACGTCTGTGTGCGGCCTGCACCAACCACAGAGATATCTCATTGGCTGTCCCCAGCCTGCTCTCCGGGTCATGTAATTTCTCCTTAAAGTCAGACTTTAGCTCTTCATTTACAAAAATTCCCCTCGCTGTTATTGTCTAATGCTCTGGGGCTTGCCAAATGTCAGAGTGAAGAACAGGCTGTCTGATCGTGCCTGTCCACTAGTGAGGCCCAAAGCTAGCCACACCAGCCTTTCCTGAGCCTGCAAGTAAGTGTGCAGAGACACCTGTAGCAGGAAAATATCCTCAGAACAACACTCCCAGGCAAGAGGTCTCCTGAGGGTGGGACTAAACATTGTGTTCAAAACATATTCAGGCCTCACACTTGTCTTTGTGTTTCCCAAGAGGAAAAATGGACCAATGTCCGATGGTTCAATGCGCATCATTCTCCTCTCAGTACCTGACATTCACAGACTAAGCACCAAAATCCACCATGGAACTCATTAAAAGGCGGAAACTCCTAAGCAAACATATGTCTTCCATAGTTTTATTTAAGTCTTCAAGACTTGGAGAATTAATTGGAGAGCTTTCATAGTGTAGTTAAGGAGGAAGATTTCAAAAAGCACCTAATAAATGTCTCCTCTCATTTTAAAGGGTGAATTTTATTACATTTCAGTTTTGAGTATCTTTCTTCTATTGATATTAATCCAGCTCTTCTCCAATGGAGATGTCCATCGGGAGGAAAAGCAGACTCTTGCCCAGGACAAGACAAAAGTTGGGGGGCATGAAGTGGACACGAGCATTGCGGGAGGCCTCAGAATCTGGGGCCAGAGAGCTGCCGAGGTGAGGATGGGCCATTGGCATATCTCCTACGGGTAGCTGGTGGCGTCTCCAAGCGATGGACTGTGATGTCAGTGAGCAATGGATTGTGACTGCGTGGCCCTCACTGCTTATATGTGGGTGCAGAGTCCCACCCCGCCGGCTAGTGCCCGCACTCCGGCTGAGCGGTTACGTGAGGTCTGGAGTGAGGAGCGAGGTTGGCCTTGGTGCTGGTGTCGTGCCCTGGGAGTTGCTGCAGCAGCTCTCAGTGCCCTTCCCAGAGCCATCGGAGCTTCTTCCACGGTCCTGCGTCGTTTGGGCCGTCGGGAGACCCAGGAGGAGCGCTCGCAGCAGCAGAGGTGAGCACTGCAGGGACACCTCCCCCTGGGCAGCTGGAAGGGTTTCCTCCTCTGGGGACCTGCACAGCTCTTCCAGCTGCCCCTAGAGCAGCCGATGACCGTGGCCTCTTCTCTGCCTTTTGCAGCGTGACAGCTGCTGCTGCTGCTGCAGCGCTGGTGAGGAGGAGCAGCCCCTCATCCCCTGCTCCACGCAGCCCACTGCAGCAGCTGGAGAGCATGGCCACGGCACTGGAGAGCCGCTGCCCCATTTGTCTTGACACCTGGGACAACGCGGGCTACGTGATGCCATGTCTCCACCAGTTTTGCTTCCAGTGCATCCAGCAGTGGATGGAGAGCAAGCCCGAGTGCCCCCTCTGCAAGAGGAGGGTCAGCTCCATCATACACTCGGTGCGGGCAGACAACAAATTTGAGGAGGTCGTCATCCCACCGCCGGCAGAGGCATCCCTCGTGGCCCAGCCGGCTGGGAGAGCTCGTGGCCACGCAGCCACCACCGGCCCCCGTCACCACCCTGCAGCATCTGCGCCATCAGCTGCAGGGCCGGCTCTTGTGGGAGGCCTCCAGCCTGAAGTCTGGGCCTCCCTTTTGCGAGACCACCCAACTCTGATCCGTCCCGTGCTGCCCTGGCTGCGCCAGGAGCTGGGGCGCATCCATGGGGCTGATCACGCGGAGGCGCAAATGGTGGAAGACCTCCTCACCTCCGCCCTGGGCCTCCTGGGGCTGGATGAAGATCGCCTGGTCCAGCTGCTGCAGCTTTCCATGGCGGACCACGCAGCCACCTTTGTGCACCAGCTCATCAGCATCACGGTGCAGCGGTGCAGCTGGGTGGCCCACCGCCTGCTGGGCCTGGAGGGCTCCCGTGCTGCCATGGGACAGGCAGGCAGCCCCGCAGCTGCCCCCAGGCCTTCTGGCTCCCGACAGGGGACTGCTGGTCCTGGTCCAGAGCCCTCCAACAACGCTGCTGGAGCCAGCACGGACCAAGTCGCGGGCAGCTCCAGTGCTGCCCTTCAAGGGGGTCCCGGCCTGCCCCCCTCCAGCCTGGTTCAGGACCCAGGGAACCAAGAAGCGCCCCAGGAGGAGACACCAGAGGCTGTGCCTGGACCCTCCACAGCAGAACAGGGCAGGGACCATCCCCACAGGGGGCCCCGGCGAGCCCCGAAGAGGAGGGCCCCCACCTCCCAGGCCTCTTCTCCAGCAGCCAAGAAGAGGCCACCCCGCCGGCAACACTAGGGCAGCGCCCCAGGAGCTGGCAACAACAGGGCCGGGCCAGCGGATGGGGCACACGGAAGGCCCTCAGCAAATACATCTATACAATGTAGAAAATAAATCATATATATATAAAGTCTCAGTGTAGCTAACAATTTATTTGGTGGTGCCATCCACACCCCTGCTGCCATCTCCCCCTCTTCCTGCTGCTGTGCCCACCGCCTCCTCGCGTGCCCGCTGTGAGGTCTGGTGGGGTTGGGGCACGGCGATGCTGCCCTTCGCCAGGAGGGCTGGGGTGTTCGTCTCGGCGCTCCCCTCCCCTGGTGCCCGGCCCCACTGCTGCGCTCCCCCTGACAGCGCGTGCTGCCCAGCCGCAGGCCTGCAGCTCTGCAGCTGCTCCCAGCGGGAGGTTTGGTGCCAGGGGGTGCCTGGCTTCAACAAGTCCAAACAAAAGGTGCTGCACCTGTGTCAGAGCAATAGCAGGCACAAGAAGAACTCCCTGACAGCAGCCCTGTGGAGAGGGATTTGGGGGTTCTGTTGGATGAGCAGCTCGACATGAGCCAGCAGCGCGTGCTTGCAGCCCAGAAGACCAACTGCCTCCTGGGCTCCATCAAAAGCAGCGTGGCCAGCAGCGGAGGGAGGGGCTTAGCACATGCACATGCACATGCAAAAATACGGGAGGAAAAGCAGACTCTTGAGGTCTGACAGCGCGTGGACAACCTTGCTCCTCACCACCCCAACCCTGACATTTCTCTCATTGGCCACCTGGCGCTTGCATCACTTTTCCTTACACCACACTTCTGCACTGAAGTCTGCAGCTGCATGTTACAGCCCCTTTGCACCAGCTCCCACCTGCTTTCCTTAGAGACCTGGCTGCACACAGAAGGGTTTTTCCTTATTTGAAAACTAACAAGGAGAAAACATGCAGCAATTTTCCAAACAGCAAAGCAAGCTCCTCATCTCGTATGTCTGCAGTCAGGTTTACCTCACTGGTTTATCCTCACAAAAGGATGACTGTACATTAAGTATTTTATAGTGATTGATGAGAAATTCTAGGTATTAAGATTAGTATTATTCCATATGATCGTAATTCAATAATAAAAGATGAGGAGCTTGCTACAGAAACAATTAGGCAGACTGCTTACCTGTCCCAGAGAGCATTGGCAGCTTTTATTCCAGCTGACTTCTCAACGGGAGAGCAGCCAGGATTGTGCCGTGGTCTGGTCCAATCGCCGTGTGATTCTGGCTGAAAGAGAAGCAGCACCAAACGCAGCAGCATCCCTCTGTCGACACGGGCTACCCCTTCCTCTGTGCCCGAGGGCCTCCAGCGACTCACCGAGGCCGTCCTTGTCCCGTCGTCCTCATGGAGCAGTCACTGCCCTCCTGGCCCGAGCGTGACACCCTCCTGCTTTTTGGTAGAGGCAGGTGGGTGTGGGTTGGGGTGATCTTACCTGTCCTGGAGAGCATTGGCAGCTCTTCCTCCCAGAAGTCTTCTCAAGGGGAGAGAGGCCACGTTGTGCCATGGTCTCGTCCCGTCGCTGTGTGTGTCTGGCTTTAATAAGAGACAGAAGAAATGGAGCAGCATCCCCGTGTGACCACAAGATGACCCTGCCTCTGTGCCCCAGGTTCTCGAGCATCTCACCAAGTCTGACCGCCTCCCATCATCCTGTTGGAGTGCTCACTCCTGTCCTTGGTTGGGGCAATCTTACCTGTCCTGGAGAGCATTGGAAGCTCATCCTTACAGCTGACTTCGCAAGGGGAGAGCGGCTAAGCTTGTGCCATGGACTGGTTCCATCGCTGTGGGTTTCTGGCTAAAAGAGAGGCACCACGAGACAGAGCAGCATTCCTCTGTGAACATGGGCAACCCCTGTCTCTCTGCTCAAGAGTATCTAGCAACTCACCAAGGCTGTCCGTGTCCCATCGTCCTGATGGAGTGGTCACTCCCGTCCTAACCCAATCATGTCACTGTCCTGCTTGCAGTTAGAGCCTGGCGGGTGTGGGTTGGGGAAATCTTTCCTGTCCTGGAGAGCGCTGGAACTTCCTTCCACCTGACTTCTCAATGGGAGACAGGCCAGGATTGTGCCTTGGTCTCATCCCATCGCTGTGTGTGTCTGGCTTTAATAACAGACAGAACAAACGGAGCAGCATCCCTCTGTGATCATAGGAAGACCCTGCCTCTGTGCCCAAGGGTCTACCAGGACTCACCGAGGCTCTCCCTGTCCCATCGTCCTCATGGAGCAGTCACTGCTGTCCTACCCCGATCGTGTCACCATCCTGCTTGCAGTTAGAGCCTCGTGGGTGTGGGTTGGGGCGATCCTACCTGTCCTGGAGAGCGTTGGCAGCTCTTCTTTCCAGCTCAGTTGTCGAGGGCAGAGAGGCTAGGAGTTTGCCGTGGTCTGGTCTCATCGCTGTGTGTGTCTGGCTGAAAGAGAAGAAGCACCAAATGGAGCAGCATCCCCATGTAACCATGGCCAGCCCCTGCCTCTGTACCCGAGGGTCTCCAGCGACTCACCGAGGCTTTCTGTGTTCCGTCGTCTCCATGGAGCGGTCACTGCCGTCCTAGTCTGATCGTGTCACCATCCTGATTTCTGTGGACAGTGGTGGATATGGGTTGGGGCAATGTTACTTGTCCTGGAGAGTGCTGGAAGTTCCTTCCAGATGTCTTCTCAAAGGGAGAGTCGCCACGGATGTGCCGTCGTCTGCTTCCAATCGCTGTGTGTGTCTGGCTTTAATAAGAGAAAGAAAAATCAGAGCAGTATCCCCGTGGGACCAGGGGCTGACCCTGCCTCTGTGCCCGACGGACTCGAGCGTCTCACCATGTCAATCCGTCTCCCATCATCCTGATTGAGTGGTCACTGCTGTCCTGGCCCAAGCATGTCACCGTCCTGCTTGCTATGAGACCATGCTGGGGTGTGGGTTGGGGCAATCTTACTTGTCCTGGAGATCATTGACACCTTTGCTAGGTGACTTCTCAAGGGGAGAGAGTCCAGGAGTGTGCCATGGCTTCATTCCAGCACTGTCAGTGTCTCCAGCTGTAATAGAGGAGGCGACAAACCGAGCAGCCACCCCCTCTCAGCACTGGAAGCCATTCCTTCCTCCTTGCACGAAGCTCTCCCAGCCTCACACCACGGCTGTCCATCTCGCATCTTCCTGATGTCCAGGGGATGTTTGTTTGTTGTAGCTTAAATGTGCCATATTCCCACTTAGCGTGGTGACACCGTGGTGGGGAATGGCGTGACGCTTTCTCATCTGTCCTGGAGAGCGTTGGCATCTTTTCTGGCTGAGCTCTCAAAGCGAGAGAGGCCAGCAGTGTGCCACGGTCCGGTCTCATCGCTAGGAATGTTTCTGTCTGAAAGAGGAAAAGCACCAAACGGAGCAGCATCCCCCTGTAACCATGGGCAGCGCTTGCCTGAGAGCCCAAGGTTCTTCTCACCAAGGCTGTCCGTGTCCCGTCATCCTCATGCAGAGGTCACTCTCGTCCTGACCCAATCGTGTCACCGTCCTGCTTGAAGAGAGAGGAAAAAGAAGCTGACTCCCTCTGCTTGAGGTTGTGTCTGGAGCGGACACTTGAGCGGGAGGAGCAGGCAGCCGAGCAGCCTCCCCGTCAGCACGGGCAGCCGTTACAGGCCTGCCCAACCGCCCAACCGCCGCTGGGGCCAGCATTCCGGAGCCATGGCCGTCCCCAACGCTTTGTGTTGTGCCAGCCTGGGCTTTGCTCTGCCCTTGCCCCTCAGGGTGCAGCAGGCTGTGGGTTGCCATGTTCTTCAGCTTTCTCTCTGGAAAAAGGCACGTGTGGCTAGAAACATGCCTGCTGTTGTAATCCAGTTACATTTATCTGGAGTTAAAGCCAGTAGGAGCCGGTCACTAATGGAGTTCCCCAGGGCTCACTACTAGGGCCAGTCCTCTTTAATATCTTTATCGATGATCTGAATGAGGGGATCGAGTGCACCTTCAGTGATCTTGCAGATGACACCAAGTTAGGTGCATGTGTCGATCTGCTCGAGGGTAGGAAGGCTCTGCAGGAGGATCTGGATAGGCTGGACCAATGGGCTGAGGCCAACTGCATGAAGTTCAACAAGGCCAAGTGCCGGGTCCTCCACCTGGGGCTCAATAACCCCAAGCAGAGCTACAGGCTGGGAGATGAGTGGTTGGAGAGCTGCCAGGCAGAGAAGGACCTGGGAGTATTGGTGGCTAGTCGGCTGAACATGAGCCAGCAGTGTGCTCGGGTGGCCAGGAAGGCCAAGAGCATCCTGGCTGGAATAAGAAGCAGTGTGGCCAGCAGGGCTAGGGAAGTGATTGTCCCCCTGGACTTGGCTCTCGAGATTCTCTTCTGAAGGGTAAGCCACAGTATCTCTTTTCAAGTGTTCAGAAATTGTACTGATACAGAACGGATCATTTCCATATCAACTCTTAGAATATGAAAAATCATGCAAATAAGCAATTGACATGCTTATGCTTTTAGTGCTGCACAAGCTAACAGTAGTCAAGTGATCTTTGGCACTGAGGCCATGTTATTTTGCAAGTTAAAGTACTAAGTTAGGTAAATGCATGTTTTTAAACACAGTTTTCTTGGTGTAAGCACGTTTTCACTCTCTATTACTTATCTTTTACTTCTATATTCTTAATCTATTTCTTCAATAGTTTTGTGTAATTTTGTTTAGTTTCTTCTCCTACATGAATTCACTTGCATTCTGAATTACCTTTTTCGTCTCTTATGCTGTGATACACTTTTTCCTCTCTTGGACTTTTTCTTCATTGCTCTGCTGATCTAGACATAGTTCTTTCTATATTTCAATTTGTTCTTATTTCAGCCCACAAATAATTAGATTCCATTTACTTCTGAGGAAGATGTATCTCACTGCAGAAAGAAAGGAGTTCTCTGAGTAGCAAACAGATTGCACAAGAGCTAGCAAGGTCCACCCTATCTATCAGTCACTTCTGAACTAACTAGTGATGCACTGCTTCCCATGCTCTCTATCCCATGATACAGCAAAATAAAACCACTTCCACTCATCAAAGGCTCATCTCCTTCAAACAGGGATCAGTGTTACTTATGTTTCATGTGTTCATTCACGTGTCAAACACCAACATCTAGATTCCAAGATCTGTGTCCACGCTGATGGGTTCACACGGCACTCTCAGACTGTTCCATAAATCCTTAGAGCTCTTTGAAGCATGAGGCCCTCACCCTCAGACTTCGAAGTATGTTCCAATCTGGATAAACACATGTTGCCTAAATCAATCTCCCTGCACTGTGTAGTTTTACTGTAATATAATATGGTGGATTTTTTTTATTATTATTTTTCTTAATGGAAGGCTTAGAAGCAGCTGTTTTACTGACAGGAAGAATGAAAA